CCTAATCCCTTTGTAGGGAGCAAAAATCTAGGGACGGATTGTAACAGTTGAGTACTGGCAATTCATCGTTCGTGGTGAGAAAGTTCCATCGTGGAACGTTAGAGGCGTTAGATTTGTGTACACCCATCTGTTGACCATTTTGTCAATTCGCAAGAGATCTTATCATGGGTCTGGCTAGCATTCGATTCCGTCTTCTGCATCAGAACTCTTACTATCATCAACTGCTTCGAGCAAAGCAATTCAGCTGGAACCAAAGGAAAAGAAGATCTGTCCTCCTCCTGGAGGAAGGACAGAAGACGCATATAACGGCAACAAATTAGAGGACCCCCCGACCACGTGTGTTTGGCCAACTGAGGAACACCCGACAAAGAACTATGACCTGTTTCTCAGAGGATTGTGAAAGTGCTACATGCCTCGAAAAAGGAACTTGAGACAAATTTCAAAAACCACGAAGAACTTGCTTGAGAAGAGAAGGACATCGAGGCTTGATCCACTGCATCACATCTCGAGTGACTGATAGCCAATACCACTTGCAAAACAGCATGGCAAAAATGTCTTCAAAAGTACAAGCAAGCGAAACATTTGGAAGTTCAAAGGGAAGGAAAATCATAAGAAGTACCGTGAAGACCTTCTCGACCAGTATTTCACTGACAATGTAACGATGACGAGACATGCACATCTTTCCCAGAAGATGGAATCGATCACAAAGAGACTTAAAAACCCATCAACCTGTGTCAAACCCAATTATACGCACTAGAGAATCACCAAAAGGATTCTACGTATGAACTACGCGCCGCAATCCAGACCATGAAGGCAGCCACGGCTCTGGATCGGGACCACGTTTAGGCCGAAATTTTACGAAAGGGAGGACATCGCCTGCACGAGATATCTAGGGCGCACCCAACGTTTACCTTCAAAAGAAAAAAGATCCCGACCAGTGGAGATACAACCCATCTTCAAGAGAAGGGCGATAAGGAGTCACTTACCGTCGAATATATCTGCTGAGTGTGCTTTACGAGTTCTTCAAGAAGATTACTCTAACTGGCATATCAAGGAGAATGAAGACCAAACGTGGAACAAGCTCTACTTCGATAAGGATTAGATTGCGTGGATCACATCCATCCAAATGTCGAAACAAGAAATCAAGATTGCGGAGAGCATCGCCTACCATCCCCTAACCATGTCGACTGAGAAAGCGTCCAAGCCTTGAGAATAACGCCATATTGCCAGCGCTCGTCGACGAAGTGAAGTAGCATGAGTACATTGCTTGACGTTACAAGAACTGGGACTGCTACAAAAACTCAACGGTACAGCCTTTAAATTGCACCATTAGCATCCCCTTGAAAAAAAGCAAAAGACCAGCCG